TTTCATTTATTTGTTTAGTTTTCTTCTCTCTCTTATTCCCTTTTTGTCTTTCTTCATTTCCAGTTTCTCAATTTATTCATTTTTTTCTTTTACCCTTTTTCTTTTATTTTTGTTTTTCCCCATTTCTCAGTCTCTCATCTCTCCACTCCAATAGCAAGCTCCCTTAGCACTCTTTTTTGTTTGTGTGTATGTCTTTGGATCCTGTTCCTCTCTCCTTTCTCTCCTCTTTCCCATACCCGTCTTAGCTCTACACATCACAATCTACCCCCTCCTTCCTGCCTACCTGCACCGTGTACTAAACATCACACTCCCAAGCAACACAGGTACAGGCTACTGGAACCTGCCCTACACTGATTCCCGGTACGCACTGTCAGCCCTAGTACATGCCACAAAAAATCTATCCCAGCAACTTCCTTCAGCTGGATCTGCCCTGGTGTACCATACCTGAGTGACTGACCCTGCCCATTGGAGAAGGAGGTGAAAAGTACTGCACCCATAGACGAGCAAACAACAAAGAACGCACAGCCCACCTGCTCAGACATAACCAAATAAAACAAAAAAGCGGACGAAACAAACAAATCTACAATCAATAAATGATGCCCTGAAGATAGCAGACAATATCAAAACACAAAAACAAGACAGGATGGTTCCAGTAGGCATCCAAAATAAAACACCAGATGACCTTCCAGTAGAAGAAAAGGCAATAGACCTGAGAGTGAATTCGAATCTCTAATATTCAGAATTATCCAAGAATTGAAGCAAAAAACAGACAAAAATGAGGGAAAAATAGACAAATTCATGGAAAAGGCAAATTCATGGGAAATACAGACAAAAAAATGGTAAGAATTCAAGAAAATAATAAAGGAACAAAATGCTAAAATAAACTCACAACTGGAAATCATACAAAAACAACAGATAGAAATCCAAAAGGTAAACAACAGGATTTCAAAAATGGACAGTGTCACAGAAGGGCTGAGGAGCAGGTTTGAAATGATGGAAGACAGGATCAGGGAAACTGAAGACAAACACTTGGATACAACTCTGAGGAAAAATCAGAAAAAAGAATGAAGAAAAATGAAGAAACCCTGAGAATTAC